TCGCGAAGCCTGTTACGCTGGAGTATCACCCATGACGAGGCTGGTGGTGGGGGGCCTCCCCAGGGTCGCGCCGGCGGAGACGCGACTCCCAGAGAGGCACTGTACTGTAATTGTTTGCTTGTTCGATACCTAATCAGGTAAAGTATGACCAACTGCGCGAGCCGGCGGCAACTTTCACTCGACCTTTAGCCAGGACGCAAACACTGCGCAGCCCCGTTATGTCGTCTTTTGACAATGTGAGAAAATTCACGTATCGGAAAGTTTCCAGACGCATCGATTTAGAAAATAGACGTGTTCGCCTACAACGTGACAACGCCGCAAGAAGAATTTCATAATTGTATACGAGATAAACTATATCTTGAGTGTCTTGTCAACAAAATAACTCGTCACCACTGGATTCCTTGGAAAATTCACCAGGGCCAAGTGTCATTCTTTTCGGAAATTTTACAATTTCACCATAGTGATTTGCTTTGCTGCCAAATTATGGGCAAATTCGTCTATTGAAAACCACTGCTCACGTCGAGGCTGATAATGAAGACACATAAAACAGCCATGTTTGCGGGCGAATGTTAGGTTATCGCTATTAGGTATATATGTTTGAATATTTGCACCTCGCTCAGTCACAGGAAAGCTTAATATTCATAGACTTATCTTCTCTTTTGTCGAGGAGCCTAGCTATACGGTATAAAGCATTCCGGTAAAGCTGCAAAAGAATACGGGCAACAAGAAAACGGTAGTCACCATGTTAAAGCATAGTTCCGTTTTCTTCTTCCCCGCATTCTTCTGAATTTAAGCATTACAAGAATGCTTTATTCAACAACTGCCACTATAAAAAAAAATCGAGAGTAAGTTTACTCTTGGAGGGGACACAAACGCTCCTTTATCTCACCTGGATAAATAATTTACATTCCCATCGGGAGGTAAATTTAACCCAACAATACCGGTGCTATTATGTTCTCGTAGTATGGTTATCGCTTTTACCTACCCACCCACGAAGATTAAAGTGATATTGCATACCGTTCAGATAGACAAGAATCCCACATTCGCTTAATACAACTAGTTGAAGTCAAGACTTAAGGCTGAGCTTAATTTCACAGAATTAAACGAAAAGAAAAAAGACAATATCATTGATTTCGGCTTTCCAAACCAAATAAAACAAGAAAAACCAAAAGGCGATATACAACAGTTAAATGATTCAAGGTTACATTTCGTAAATTTCTTTACTGATACAGATGGAAAATATGAAAAATTTTCAATGATATGCCAGAGGGCTGCCGCCCCCTGGCCCCCGCTTAATTTTTGATACATTTTCCAACATATATTCCAAGCTTCTTTCATTTAAATCTCCATTAAAATGTTATTACTGTTTAAAATGCCAGGGGGCTGCCGCCCCCTGGACCTCCGCTTTTTTTTTATAAGAGTGTGTTACCAACATTAAATCGTGAAACTGAAGAATTTTGGTTCATTTTTGTAAACATGATAAATACAAAAAAACTTTATCAATTAGCGATCGCTTTAAATTCTATGACAAATTCAGAGAATATTATACATTATTATTCTTTAAAAAAAGTAATATTACGATCACTTTTATAAAGTGCGGTGCATTGTTTACAAACTCCGAACCAACTTCCATAGGTTGGCACTATGTGGGGTGATTTGGAATGTTTACATTCTCGTATCACTCTACTCCTTAAAGCCTAGGCTGAGTATCTAAATTTAAGATTCCTATTCAGATTCAGTTATCCATATAAACTGGCTCAGCCAACAACGCCCACCCAGGAGGGTAAAAATACTCCTTAAGAGGCATCGAGTGTATGTGAATGTAAAAGAGTGATCCGTTCTCCATCCATTGCTACTTCAGCGAGTTTTACCATTTCATTTCGGGCCGACAGGACTGTTTCTAAATCCTTTCGGTTTCCGCAATTAGTTTTAAAAAATTGGACCACGGTAAACAAAAAACTCGGAATCCGAGGCGTGAAAAAATTGGAAATTTTAATTTTTGAGGCAGGAAATCGACTTTTAAGGCATCCTCTCGATTTCGAGCATCCAAAGCCTGATTTAGAGCCGCTCTGCTCTGATTCCGAGGTATGGAGCTCGTAATCCGGGAATCGTCTCTCGAAATCCGGGAATCGTTTTTCGGAATCAGGTTAAAGGTGACTCGGTTTTAGAGACACGTTTACCCGATTTCGGGATCGGTAGCTCGGAATTAGGACAACATCGGAAATCGAGATTTCCGCCTCGGCGTCGATCCCGAGGAGAGAACATGCCATAGCAGCGGCCATTAGAGTCACCGCCACACAAAACGTACGCGAGAGGCTGACGGGACCGTACTCAACAAGGCGTCGGACCACCGTTAGATTTAAACTAATTATCTGCAACATGGTTGACTTTTATGGCAAGCTGTGATCGTTGTCGGTTTCATAGTGAAACAGACTGCGTAAAATTAATTGTCAATGTCTCTGTGATATTTTCATTTATTAGAATAAAAAGCAGATTTTGTAGCGGACGCGCTTACTGAAACGCCATCTAGCGGCCATCTATCGCGGGCTTCGCGTCTAGGGGGCCGGGGGCAAATAAGAAAGTGATTGGCTCTGGGTGGAAGTGGGTTGCGTCCGTGCAGTAGTAGTCCGAACCTACCTCTCCTCCCACGATGCTACGGCTGTCACGAATTTGTGGGAACTTTGCTGCCAGTGTGTTGCACAGGTAGACGCCCCCCCCCCCCCACAGTTTTACCAAATGTAATATAGATACCTTTATACAGCCTTACACAATTGACTCTGTATACAAATTTACTGTCAATGTTTTTTCACCCGGGCTTAAAAAGAAAAGTATGCGCGTTTTGCTTGAATCTGCACGCTCATTTGCTGACCGGCATACGAAGGTCGTCGTTGACCAATCAGCGTTCAAGCGGAAACAGATCGGGCAGTCATGCTTTTCTTCTTTAGGTTCCGACTCTTTTGCAGCAGAATACCCTATTTACGTGTGTTGGTGCAATGGGTAATTCACCACTCAAGTAGTAATTTTGATTTGATACATCATAAGAAATGTACACCCTATCGCGGGAAATAACGTTTTAAATCTGAATTACATACCAGAGGGAGAGATTTGTCCACACATTGGTGAACAAAATTATCCTTGGTTTTTAACAGTGTACCTTTCCTTGTCTGACAGGTCCTAATTCCAGCAGTGTCGCGGGGAGTATGGCGTTCTCTGGTCATCTTGCTGCGGTCGTGTGGCATGCTGCCAGTCAGTGGGCCAATACTTCGGCCACGCCCTCTCGGCTGTCCAGTAGCCCTTATCGTGGGAGGCGTCGCCTTCTTCTTCTGCAGCCCAATGTTGTACTATTCTCAGTATAAGCTGGCTGGTGCGTACACAAAAAACTTCATGTTCCCAAGATTGATTGGCTGAGCCCTAAAATAAGGTAAAGTAAAAAAAAATCAATAGGGCGAAGACAAGCATTCGTTCGGTAGTGGCTGATCAGTCCGGCTTGTCCATTCCGGGCTAACCAACTTTCCCATAACATGACCAGAATAAAAAGAAGCCCAGAAAAGGGAACTACTTTTATCTAACGTCTCTGTTTTCATGTTGTATCAATAAAAGTAGAATCACTAATTTGATTTTTTGTTTGTTAGCAGCGAGAGTACAACAGTAATGAATTTACTAACAGTAGTTTTGTTATTTCCTGTTGGCATTAGTTTATGTTTATTAGTGATGGTTATCGTCTGCTAATGCTTTTGAGTATGGCTCCAAATATTTTTACCCCCCCCCCCCCATAATTGAATTTGCTAAGAGTAACTGAAGTAAATGTTATCAGATAAAAGCGGGGGTCCAGCCCCCTGGCTTTTATATTTTTATTGAAATTCCTCCCCATATATCAACCTATATCAGCTTTGTTATCGCTTGGATTAAAATAAAAAGGGGGAAAAACCGTAGGTAGTATAAATGCAAGAGTGCCTTAGCTAATAAAGTTTTTTTTCTAAGAAATTGCTTAATTCTGTCAAACAGTTAAGAAATTATGGGGCGAAGACTACGATCATTATGATCTACCTAGTATTTGCTGTGAGTCGCAAACTAAGCGAACGGAATCTATGATGTACGAATCTTGTTTCCTATGATGACGTCATTTGAACCCTACTCGATATCTCGAATAGAAACAAAGAATATCAGTCTATAAGAATCTCTTGTTTAGTTGAGATATTAGAAAGACTTGTTCTTGTCTGTGTCAATGGGTACAGCACTTTATTTTCTGTTACCTTCTGCTGTGGTTTTGTTTATATAGTTTCCATGGAGGGTGTCCTTGGTGTTCTTTGGGTCGTACGTGACGCTACGAATCGGTTATCGATAATACTGCGGCGAGATGCGATGTGCGAGTGGGTGCACTGCATGTCCCTGTACTGTCTTCGGCATCCACCGAGTCCCAGAGCCTGGCGCCGACTGCTGCTTGTCGCTATGGTAAAAGGGTCCCTTTAAATGTGTTCACCATTCAGTATGAGAAATGGAGCTAGGCGCTGTGGCCTACATTCCTCTCTATGCTTACACTGCAACTCCGTGTCTGTCTCAATTGGGTCTCAATACCCCTCC